ACAACATCCAATTTGCCCTGGCTCATAGATCTTACATTCCAGGTTCCTATGTTGTGTTGATCTTTAGAGCATCGGATTCGTCGTTCACCTCCAGTACCGTCGGCCGCTAGCCTTCCTTTCGGCTTTGAGCTAGCTGCGTCATCACATCTGGGGCTAGTTGAACTTATCCTCTGCTCCTCCCCAGTAGCATTTTGGCCATCTTCCGACCTGGGAGTCCCATCTTCCAATGGGATACCGACATATCTCTGGTTGTACTGGTCCATTTAGTTTTCTTGGCAAGGATACTGGAGTGGTTTGCCATTGCCTTCCCCAGGGGTCACGCTTGGTCTGACCTCTCTGCCACAACCGTCCCGTCTTGGGTGGCCCTTCACGGTTTCGCTCATGACATCATTGAGGTGCTCAAGCTCCAGCGCCCCGACAAGGCGGTGATCCTTTGCTGGAGATTCATTATAAAACATCCAATTAAAATTACGCAAGTTCAAGTCATAATCCAAGTCTGTCCATTGTCAGTCAAGTTAATCATTCTCATTATTATTGCTGCATCTGCTGCTTGGATGCTTGGTCTCACAACTATGTTTTAAGTTTTTCCTAAAGGATAGGAGGGAGGAGGACAATCTGATTTCATTAGAGAGGATGGTCCACAGCTGGGAGACCATCACTGAGAAGCCCTGCTCTCAATCCCACCACCCTTATAAACGTGGCTGGTGGGGATGAGAGACAGGGCTTCCCCCAATGATCTTAATTTCTGAAGGGAATCATAGAGGGAGATACATTTGGACAAGTAAACTGGACTGGACCCATTTAAGGCTTTATAGGCCAAAGCCAGCACTTTGAATTGTGTTTGGTAGCAGATTGGCAGTCAGTAGAGCTGACGTAACGGGGTGTGGGGGTGTGTGTGGTATGCTTAGTAGCCAAATGCTACTGAAAATACATTAAAGGACTTTCCTATAAAATAATACATTGCAGATGGATAGATTCTGCTTCAAAATTCTCAAGGAACACCTTTTCTCTGTTCATTTCAAACCTCTTAGTAGTGTAAAGGCTGAAATTAAACTGTGACTGGCTTAGGCTTCATCTACACTGTCACATTGGTGTAGTTTGACACCATGACTCATGCTATGGAATGTTGGGATTTATAGTTTGGTGACGCACCAGGCCTCTGGCAGAGATGGCTAAAGACCTTGTAAAACAACCACCCCTGCGATTCCATAGCATTGAACCACGGCATTTAAAGTGGTATCAAACTGCATTAATTCTACACTGGATATAAGCAACCATGGGCCCATGCTTGTCTTGTTCTAATGGAGAAGGCCAAACGATTACCACCAATCTCAGTCACCTAGATCTGAAAGATGTTACCATTACCTCCTGTCTATGAACTCTCGTTCCCCAGAATCTTAGCTGGGGCGAACTGCAGAAGGGTATTTTATAGCCTCATGCAGCTGGGTGATTTACGTGCCCTTTTGCCCTAGCAATATGCTAATAAATTTAACAAGATCCCTGTAGTACCCTTGTGCTTCCCTGAAAATGAAGCCCTGGTGCAAGGTGAAAAGTTGCTGTGTGTATGTGTGTGGGGGGATAGAAGAGAGGAAGCTGCTGGAAAACACTGAAATTCAACTGAGCTTTATAGTGTGATCCACAAATACTTTGGGTCACATTTTGTACTACTTTGGTGTACACATTGATGGGGTGGAGCTTCCTTGCTTGGGCTGGATGTACACTGTTAAATAATGCCATTTGAGCTTCATTATATGATCATTATATAATGCAGTTTGAACTGCATTGAACTGTATTATATCGGTCTAGACTGACCATATAATGCAGTTCAGACTGCACTATCTGGCAGTGTATTATTATTATTGTTCTTGTTGTTGTTGCTGTTGTTGTTGCTGTTGTTGTTGTTATATCCGGAAACTTTTGGGGCATCTGAGGTGTTTGGCTCCAAAATAACCCTCAGTTAGGGTAATTCCACCAAAATATAGCAGTGTACCAGGAGTAAACTCCGTAACCAGCAAAAATGTATGTGTGGTGAGTAGGAATAGCCTAATTTTTAGAAAGGTTCAGGATTTAGGTTCAAAAATATTTATTAAAGTAAAGGAAATACATTCTTGATAGAAAAGTCTAGGAGCTACCTTATTAAATCTCATCTTCTAAAGAAGGTAAAAGGTAAAAAAAAGTCCATGCAGCTACATTTTGCCTTGAAAGAGGCAAAATACATCCTCACCGGGAGAAAGAAAAGCAGGAGTAGCATGGTGGAGACCGCATGGCCTTGCCAAGGTAATTTTTAAACTTAAAAAGGAAATTCCCTCATGTAATTCCATTACTACGTCATCAAAGGGGGAGGAGACAATGGCTAGCAGTAAAGACAAAAGACAAAGTCCTTTAGGAAACATGCATAGGAATGTGGGGGAAAGGAATCCCTTAGCTTAGCCCTGCTTAGTCTAGCTACTCATTGAGGACTGGAAACTTGATGACACAAAGGCTTGTGTAGTCCAGGGATGAAACCTAACAGAAACAGCCAAGGATACAATTCTAGGAAAATCTTTTACCATGGATCAATGCTAAGGAATCATTGTAATTGTAGTTTTAGAAGGTATTTAGTTATCTGTCCGAATGCATCTCCCTCTATGAGCCTATAAGAGCTTTAAGATTGGCTTGGGATGCCCTGCTCTCTGTCCCAATATCTTCACAAGCACAATTGGTTGGGACAAGAGACGGGGCCTTCTCAGTGGCAGCCCCTTGGCTGTAGAACTCACTCCCCAATGACATCAGGCAGGCCCCATCCCTCCTGGTTTTTAGAAAAAATCTTAAGACCTGGCTCTTCTCACAAGCGTTCGGTGAACAGGAAACTACAAACAAATCTTTAAAAGTTTGAATAATGGAATATGGATTTTACAAACAATTTGGACATGAGATTATGACTTGGCATTTTATATGGTTTTGATCTGTTTAATTGATTGATATGTTTTAATTGCTTATATATTTAGATTGATTATATGTTGATGAGATGTGTTTATTGTTTACCTGTGTGGCATTGAATTTTGCTTTGAGTCCCCTCTGGGGCAGAGAAAGGCAGGGTAGAAATGAAGTAAATAAATAAATAAATAAATTTGTGCTTCTGTCAAAGATTGCTGGTGCCTCACCAAACTATAAATGCCAAGATTCCATAGTACTGAGCCAGGACAGTTAAATTGTTATCAAACTGCATTGATTCCACAGTATAGGTGCACCCTTAGAGCAGTGGTTCTCAACCTGTAACTCCCCAGGTGTTTTGGCCTACCAGTCCCAGAAATCCCAGCCAGTTTACGAGCTGTTAGGATTTCTGGGTGTTGAAGGCCAAAACAGGTTGGGAAGCACTACCTTAAAGGGAAGCAGAAAAGTTTGCCAAGAAAACATCATGACAGCTTGCCTTAGGATGTATCCACATTGTAGAATTAGAGTATTTTTGAAAAAAAAGATTTAAACTTTCAACTCCATATTATGGAATTCTCAAAACTGCAGTTGTACAAGATCTTCTTCAGCTTTCTCTGTCAAAGAGTACAGATGCCTCACCAAACTACAAACCCAAAAATCCATACTTAGGCAATCCCTCGTTGTCTGAGTAAGATAGTCTTCCAAGATCAGTGTACTGGCAGTGGGTCCATAGGTGACTGCAGAGCCCTATTCTTGATCTGCATCTTCTCTGGCAGTGAGGGCATTGGTTTCCAGGTGGAAGGTGGTCCCGGTCGGGGTTGGCTTGATGCGCCTTCCTCTTAGCACATTTCTCTCTTTCGCCCTCCATTCGTGCCTCTTCAAATTCTATAGCACTGCTGGTCACAGCTGACCTCCAGCTGGAACGCTCAAGGGCCAGGGCTTCCCAGTTCTCAGTGTCTATGCCAGAGTTTTTAAGGTTGGCTTTGAGCCCATCTTTAATTCTCTTTTCCTGTCCTCCAACATTCTGTTTTCTGTTCTTGAATTCGGAGTAGAGCAACTGCTTTGGGGGATGGTGGTCGGGCATCCGGACAACGTGGCCAGTCCAGTGGAGTTGATGGCAGAGGACCTCATGGTGGTTCGCGTAAAAGCCTTACTGGTGCATTATTTAAACTGTTATGTTTATTCATATCATGATCTGATCACCATACTCAATATATCCCATATGCATGGGGGTATTGAGGTAATGATACAAAAAGTTTGCTAGGCTAGACCCTCTTTCACTCAGACTCAGCCCCCCCCCCAAACTCACCCCCCCTGAAAAAAAATCACCTCCCCCCCCAAACGAAATCCTGGCTACGGGCCTGTAGACAGTCCACGTCTCGCAGGCGCAGGCGTATAGCAAGGTTGGGAGGACAATAGCTTTATAAACAAGCACCTTGGTATCCCTACGGATGTCCTGGTCCTCAAACTCTCTCTGCTTCATTCGGAAAAAAGCTGCACTCGCAGATCTCAGGCAGTGTTGTATTTCAGTGTCAGTGTTGAGTTTTGTGGAGAGGTGGCTGTCAAGGTAGCGGAAATGGTCAACATTTTCTAGTGTTACACCATTGTATCTCTGGCATTGGAGAGGGGTTGGCTGGTGACTGCTGGAAGAGCACTTTGGTTTTCTGGATGTTCAATGACAGGCCGAGCTTCTCCTATGCTTCTGTGAAGGCCTTTAGAGTGGCTCTAAACACCACTCCAAAAATTCCATACTACTGGGCCGTTGCAATCAAAGTGCATGGATTGCACTGTGCAGATGTACCCTAGGATGGCATCCCCGGTTGCCTCAGATAAACAACGACGGAGCAAGGCAGTGTCCTGACCCCTCAGTTTGTTGTGGCCCTTCCTGAAGGCCGTCTTTTCCCTACAGGTGCAAGGGCCCACTTCTTTCCCTCTCTGGCGGGAACCTCCCTCCCCTCTTTGTCCTCCCTCCTCTCTCTCTCTTGCTCCCTCGCTCCTCCCCGCCTCTTCCCCAAAGTTGAATCCGGGGTCAGGAGTGGTGCTGCTGCTGCTGCTGCGGGTGCGGGGCCCTCAGACTGGAATTCCAGATGGGCCGCGCGCCTCCGTCTCGGGGCGCGAAGTCTCAGTCCATCAATTTCATGGGCTCCGGCGGCGGCCCCGGCTCCAGGCCCAACCCGGCGTTAAGGCCCAACAAATTGAGACATATCCTCTCCGTAATGAGTTCCAGGGCTTGCCCAAGATTTATTCACGGGGCGAAGAAGAAGAAGAAGGAGGAGGAGGAGGAGGAGGAGAAGAAGAAGAAGACGAGCCGCAGCAGCAGCACCTCAAGACTGGCGGGCGGTTGGCTCTGGACCGCTTCCCACCTAACAAAGCCAAGGGAGAAATTGTAGTTCACCTACATCCAGAGACCACTGTGGATTCAAACAATGATGGATCTGGTCCAAACTTGTCACGAATACTCGATATGCCCAAGTGTGAACACTGGTGTAGTTTGGAGAAAATAGACCTTGACGTTTGTGAGTTGTAGTTGCTGGGATTTATAGTTCACCTACAATCAAAGAGCATTCTGAACCCCACAAAAGATAGAATTGGGCCAAACTTTCCACACAGAACCCTCATGACTAACAGAAAATACTGTTTTCTGATGGTCTTTGGCAACCTCTGTGACACGACCCCCCCCCCCAGGGGTCCCAACACCTAGGTTGAGAAACACTGTTTCAAGGTAGAATTAATATAGTCGGACCCCACCAGGACCGTAGCCAGGATTTTGATTCGGTGGGTGCTGAGTTTGATTGGGGGCGGGCGGGTTGAGTTTGATTCAAGGGGGGGGGGGTAAGGATCTGCCCTAGCAAACCTTTTGTATCGTTATCCCAATACGCCCATGCATATGGGATATATTGAGCATGGGGATCAGATCATGATATGAATAAACATATCTCGCGGACCACCCTGAGAATTTCAAGCCCCCCCCCCCCACGCTACATGCCTGGACCCCACTTTAACTGTCATGACTCAATGTTATGGAATCGTGGGAGTTATAGTTCTGGTGAGGCAAACTACAACTCCCATGATAGGCAGAGAAGGCTAAAGGTGCTGTAAAGCGACAACTGCAATGGTCCCATAGCTTTGAGCCATGGCAATCCAAGGGATGTATGTAACTCTGTAGAATTCAGGTAGTTGTAGTCTTACAAGGTCTTTAGCCTTCTCTGGCAAAGAGCTCTGGTGCCTTCTTCCCAAACTACAACCCCCAGAATCCCATATATATTTGAGCCATGGGGGTCATGCTGCATTTATACTAATAGTGTAGAGCTGTATTCTAAATGCAAGTACTTTCTATGGGATTTACCTTTATTAGGGATAGGGATTCTGTTTCCTATCTAACTCAAGAACAGAATGTTGGTGGAAAGGAAAAGAGATTTGAAGATGGGCTTAAGGCCAACTTCAAAAACGGTGGCATAGATACCATAGACACCAGGGAGGCCCTGGCCCTTCACTGCTCTAACGTGAAGTCAGCTGTGACCTGCAGTGCTGCAGAATTTGAAGAGGCAGGAATGGAGGGAGAAATGTGCCAAAACTGATGTTCTTGTTTCGAGAGAAGATGCGGATCAAGAATAGGGCTCCACAGCCACCTACAGACCCCCCACCGCCAAGACACCACATCTGAAAGACAATCATCTTCGAGCTATGAGAGGTTGCCTAAGCAAGCAAAGAAAAGTCCTATCTAAGTGTTGCTTGACACCACTTTTACCTTCCATGGCTTAATGCAACGGAGTCCTCGGATTTGGTAATTTGGCGAGGAACTAGCACTCTTTGGCAGAAAGGGCGAAAGGCTTATAGAACTACGACTCTCAGGGCCTCGTCGCGTTGAGCCACGGCCGTTAAAGTGGTGTCAAGCTGTCCTCTCTCCCACCTCGCAGGTCTGGACTCTCCCGGAAGAGGGAGGCGCGTTCACGCACGAGTCCCGCCTCTCAGCTCCGGCTGGCCTTCGCCATTGGTTGCCCAGGCTTGAGGGGTTGCCCGGGGCTCCCTTTCGCGCGCGCTCCCTCCTCCTCCTCCTCCGCGTCCTCCTTGCCTGGGGCCACAGCCAGGTCAGCGGCACTATTTATTACTTGGTTAAGTTTCCTCCGCCGAGGAGGCCCTGAATCTTGACGGATCGCCTTCGCCTCTTGTCTGTTTTTACAGTTGGACGCGGCTGGTTGAAGTTAAGAGAGGAAGTGGGGAGGAGGAGGAGGAGGAGGAGGAGGAGGAGGAGGAGAGTGTTTCCAAACGCTGGCAATCCCCTGATGGGGATGAGCTCACCGCAAGGCCGCCTTCGGTTCCCCTTCCCCTTCCCCTTCCGAGGTCGAGACAAGATGCCAACAACCGAGGGAAGGAGCTCGAGGGGATCCCCCCCCCTCCGTTTGATCCCCAGACACAGAGACCGAAGAGATGAGCCTGAACAGGGATTTCTAACGGGCGCTTCGATCCCCTGGCCTCGCGAACTCAAGGTTCAGCTAAGCCAGGGATTCACAAATCTTGGTCCTCCAGCTGCTTGGAACCAACTCCCAGAAAGCTCACTTAGCTTCCCCAAGAGTCGGGAATGCTGGGAGCTGGAGTCCAAAGCAAATGGAGGACCAAAGTTTGGGGGGAAAAGATTTACATCGAGAACTAGTGCATTCGGAACCCACAACTGAAGAAAGTGCTGGTTTACTTTTTAATGTTTCAAATCTGATATAAGATTTCTCTAGGGATTTTTAGGTCTTCTAACATTGTGTGGTGCCTTGGACCGCGAGAAGATCCGACTAGTCCATACTTCAAGAAATAAAGCCTGACTGCTCATTGGAGGGAAAGAATAGTAGAGGCCAAGATGAAGTACTTTGGCCACATCATGAGAAGAAAGGAAAGCTTAGAGAAGACAATTATGCTGGGGAAAATGGAAAGAAAAAGGAAGAGGGACCAACCAAGGGCAAGATGGATGGATGGGATCCTTGAAGTGACTGGATTGACCTTGAAGGAGCTGGGGGTGGCGACGGCTGACAGGGAGCTCTGGCGTCGACTGGTCCATGAAGTCACGAAGAGTCGGAAACAACTGAAGGAATGAACAACAACAACAAACATTGTGTTGTCCAAGGATTTCATGGCCGAAATCACTGGGTTGCTGTAAGTTTATCGGGCTGCCTGGCCATGTTCCCGAAGCATTCTCTCCTGACGTTTCGCCTGCATCTAATGCAGGTATCCCCAGAGGTTGTGAGGTTTTCTAGCATTCTATGGTCAACTTCTGCAAGTTTAGCATAGAATCATATTGGAGGACCTAGAGATTCCTAATAGTGTTAGAGAAGGATTTTTTAAAAAACAGCAGCCATTGATTTATTTATGAATTATATTGATTATCTTTATATCTACCCTTCTCACTGCGAAGGAGACTCCGAGCGGTTTACAAGTTGTCAACAATTCAATGCCGCATGAACAAACATGCAAATAAAAACATCTACATTAAAATAAAAAATTAATAAAACTAAATATTAAAACCAATAATTAAAACCACACAATCCAAAATCATAGTCCAGGAGCCTTAAATTAACTTTCTTAACAGGCAATCCCTTGTCCGAGTAAGATTGTCCTCCAATTTCGGTGTCCAGGCCTAGGTGACAGTTCCTGGCGTAGGTGACAGTGAGGGCATCGGTTTCCAGGTGGAAGACAGGCTCTCTTTCGCCCTCCATTCGTGCCTCTTCAAATTCTACAGCACTGCTAGTCACAGCTGACCTCCATCCCGAGCGCTCAAGGGCCAAGGCTTCCCAGTTCTCCGTGTCTATGTCACAGTTTTTAAGGTTGGCTTTGAGCCCAGCTTTAAATCTCTTTTCCTGTCCTCCAACATTCCGTTTTCCATTCTTGCATGCTTCTGCGAAGATGTTTATAGTGGCTTGTAGGTCTTCTTCTGAATGTGCACAGACCATGTTGTCATCAGCATACTGGAGTTCTATAACAGATATTGTTGCAACCTTGTCAGGAAACACGACAATTGCATTCAAAGCAACCCGACAGATGGCCATCCATCTCTGTTTAAAAGCCTCCAAAGAAGGAGCCTTCACCACAGTCCGGGGCAGAGAGTTCCACTGCTGAACAGCTCTCACAGTCAGGAGGTTCTTCCTCATGTTCATGTGAAATCTCCTTTCCTGTAGCTTGAAGCCATTGCTCTACTTCCTAGTCTCCAGGGAAGCAGAAACAAGCCTGTTCCTTCCTCCCTGTGACTTCCCCTCACCTCTTGATGCATGTCTTCTCTCAGCCTTCTCTTCTGCAAGCTAAACATGCACAGCTCTTTAAGCCGCTCTTCATAGGGGTTGTTCACCAGGTCCTTGGAAATACTATGTTTTTATTTATGCCCCACTTTCTCTCTCCACAAGGAGACTCAAAGCTGCGTATAGTCTCTCTCATTTCTTTCAAGATTAAACTCTTAATTGTGGAATTTTTCTCAGACTCCAAACTTGATTTCCTCGAATCGTTTGAAAAAACTAGAATAATAATTCTTGAGTCAAGATAGTAAAGGTAAAGGTTTTCCCCTGACATTAAATCCAGTCGTGTTGGACTCTTGGGGATTGGTGCTCATCTCCATTTCTAAGCCGAAGAGCCGGCGTTGTCCGTAGACACCTCCAAGGCCATGTGGCCGGCATGACTGCATGGCGCACTGTTGGGTCAAGATAATTGGGATTAAAGGAAAAGTGACTTTTCTCCCAAGAAAAGCAGTAACTTTTTGGAAAGGCAACACCCCAGATTCCCCCAACTAGCCAAGACAATGATTTTGGATTCAAAGACAGAGCCGTGTTAATCTGGATTAGTATGTAAACAGATCTTCCAGGACCCTGGAGACAAACTGAAATAAATGTTGGGTTTCAGATGTTGTGGTCACAACGTTTGTTTATTTCTTTCCTTTTTATTTCCTATATTTATACCCCGCCCTTCTCCCCCCCCCCCCCCAAGGGTAGTCCTTGGATGGGAGACGCCAAAGAATCCCAGGACAAGTCACACTCTCTCAGCGTCAGCGAAGGGCCCTTTGAACCAATCTGGTGAAGAAAGCCTTGGGTCACAAACTATTTGAAGGCACAACATGAAAGATTTGATTTCAGAAGAAGGAAGTGGGGTTGCTATAAATCGACAGGACACTTGAAGGCACCTATACAGATAGAAAATAATCCATCTCCTTCCTTAATTGGGAACTTTGAATCCAGCTGTTCATTCCAACGATATGGCTTGAGTGAATCAAAGGGATGAACGCCACACAAGAGTGAGATCGGTCTTTTCTGGTGGTCTCAAAACCGCCGGGAAGAAATCGGGTGGTTACACCTTTCCTTCGCCACACAAACCAATCGCCTTTTCCTCGATGAGAAAGACCGATTTCCCGAAACCGGATTGACGCGGGAGGCAGTGGTTGAGCACCAAAGCATCTTCCTCATTCGGATTTTAAAAATAATCCTAGAAAATAGATGTTTTTGTTGTCTTGGTTCGAGGTCTTCCTCTGGACAACCTCTTTTGCTCTAGAACAAGAGAGTGTCAGCAGTTCCAGACCTTCCATACTGGCCCAGGGTGGATCTACGTGTAGCATTGATGAAGTTTCACTCCACTTTATCTGTCACGGCTCAATGCTATGGAATCATGGAAGGTGTCCTTCCACAGAGTGCTGGTGCCTCACCAAACTACAACGGCCAGGATTCCATAGTACCGAGCCATGGCAGTTAAAACTGTATTAATTCTACAGTGTAGATGTGCAGGAATAGAACTAGGGGCAACCTCTGAGGATGCCTGCCATAGATGTAGGCGAAACGTCAGGAGAGAATGCTTCTGGAAGATGGCCATACAGCCTGGAAAACTCACAGCAACCCATTTTGTTCTTTGCCTCAAGATGAAATATGTCTCTGGTCTTCTCTGTCAGATGGAGTTGTTCCCCCCCCCCCCCCAAAAAAAAATCTTTCCCCTTTCTCGTTTCCCATTGAAGCGAAGCGCCTCTCTTTGGAGGAAAAGAGGCCCGATTTGGCACTCTTTCCTTTTGACCTGGGAAAAATAATCTCACCTGTTGATAACATGGAGTGGTGGTTTGATACTGCGAGGACGACAGTGTTATTGCTTTAGGGGAGTTTTTTTACTTTAGGGGAGATGCGTAAGCGGCTGAGGGGGGAAAGGAAGGGGCCTGAGGCTGTGAGGAATGGTGGGAGTTAGAGTCCAAAACACCTGGAGGGCCCGAGTTTGCCCATACCTGGTGTAGATGCATCCGTGGACACTATAAACCCATCAGCCGAATTAAAAGTTCAGGGCAGTACAATATCTCACATATGCTTAAAACAAGCAAAGGAAAAATGACTACCAAACATTCCGCGTGCATAAACTGTCACTGGTGTTCTTTTTTGGGGGGGAGAGGGAACATTTCTCCATGAATTGTGGATGTTATTGTGGTGATAAGGTCATCCTGAAATTGTAGATGCTGCCCTTTTGATGTACCAAGGAACCCGGTCCCCAAGAGAGTGCTCTGTTAACGAGGGGTCTTTAATACTCGCTGAAAAATTGCAAGTGACACCAGAAGAGTGATTTGCAACCTTTTGCTTCCTCTCCTGTAACATACACCAGTAAGTTTATGGCACTGGGATTTTCTTCCCCCTGCTCGGAGCTGTCATCGGAGCCAGATGCTAGAAACAGCCCAGCCTGCCATCTTCAGGCTCGCAATAGTCACAAGTGGGACTCACCCACTTCCACGGGCCTTTTCACAGGAAAATGTGTGGGTGAATGCCAAACTTGTCGCCATCCACATCTACGCTGTGGAATTGATACAGTTTGACACCACTTTAACTGCTATGACTCTTTGGAATCCTGGGTTTGTACTTTTTTTGTCAGGAGCTACTTGAGAAACTGCAAGTCTCTTCTGGTGTAAGAGAATTGGCCGTCTGCAAGGATGTTGCCCAGGGGATGCCCAGATGTTTTGATGTTTTACCATTCTTGTTGGAGGCTTCTCTTATGTCCCCGCATGGGGAGCTGGAGCTGACAGAGGGAGCTCATCCGCACTCTCCCTGGATTCGAACTTCTGACGCACAAGGGCAACTGGGGCTCCAGAATTCTTCTGCTAAGGATCTTGTAAAAATGTGCTGTCGAAGGCTTTCATGGCCGGAATCCCTGGTTTCTGTAAGTTTTCCGGGCTGTATGTCCATGTTCTAGAAGCATTCTCTCCTGACATTTCGCCTGCATCTGTGGCAGACATCCTCAGATCTTGTGAGGTTTGTTGAAAACTAGGCTGGATTTTCCACGGATATATAAACTCCACTTGCCTAGTTTTCAACAGACCTCTCAACCTCTAATGATGCCTGCCATAGATACAGGCGAAACGTCAGGAGAGAATGCTTCTGGAACATAGTCATACAGCCCTGGAAAATTCACAGCAATCCTGATCGTGTAAAACTACAACTCCCAGGATTCCATAGCATCCAGGCATGGCAGTTAAAGTGGTGTCCAAATGCATTCATACAACAGTGGAAATGCACCCAGGGTCTGTTTGCCAGATCGGTTTACTCTGAGGAAAGTTTCGTAACTATGATTTTTTTTAAAGGGATGGATGTGGCCCAGATGTTTGGTTTTTTTTTTTTTTTTGCTAGATCAGGAAATCTGGAGCAGAAAAATACACGTCAGAAGAAAATTAAATAATTTTTATCGCGTCGGAAGGGACTTGGGAAACTAGAAGTCGCTTCTGGTGTGAAATAATTAGCCCTCTGCAGGGACGTTGACCAGGGAACGCCCGGATGTTTTACCATCTTGTGGGAAGCTTCTCTCATGTCCCTGCATGAGAAGCTGGAACTGACAGACAGGAACTCACCCCGCTCCCCGGATTCGAACAGCCGACCCCGACCTTTAGTTCAGCAGTTCTGCTGGCACAAAGGTTTACCCTCTATGTGGGTGAGAAACAAATAAGCAGGAGCTGGCATAAATACATCTCAATGAGCTCTAGTTAGGAGGCAATCTCATTTACTGGACACTTTCCTTCCTTCCTTCCTTCCTTCCTTCCTTCCTTCCTTCCTTCCTTCCTTCCTTCCTTCCTTCCTTCCTTCCTCCCTCTTTTTAAAATTTCTTCCTTCAGATAACTCAAGTACAGCCAACCTAAAATTAATGTTGGTTCAGGCACGTTTAAATAATTGAATTCAACCCCTTTCCCCATTGTCCGGCATTTGAGCCTCTCCTTTCCATCGAGGACCTTGCAGTAAACTGTTGTCTACATTTAAACCACCCCAGCTAAAGGCTCTCTCTGCCCACTATTTCCCAGTTTCTTGTATTTACTACTCATCACACTATAGAGTGAATCCACTTTAAATCGGTTTCTGTTCCTGCAAAATTCTGGGTTTTGCTGTTTAGTGAGGCTGTTAAAGGCCTCCCTAAACTACAAACCCAGAATTCTGCTGGAGGCAGAAACCGGATTTAAAGCAGATTCATTCTCTAGTGCGATGAGGCCATAGAAGCGTTCTTGCAACCTTGGGCTCATCACGTTAGAACTGAAGCAGTTTGGCTCCATTTGAACTGCCATGGGGCTCAATGCTATGGAGCCACGGGAGTTGAAAAGTTAATGGCCATGTTCTAGAAGCATTCTCTCCTGACATTTCGCCTGCATCTGTGGCAAGCATCCTCAGAGGTTGTGAGGTTCTTGGGCTATAACAGCCCGAAAAACCTACAACAACCCAGTGATTCTAGCCATGAAAGCCTTCGACAATACATTGAACTGCGTTAACTCTACAATGTAGATGCATTCCCTAGAGCGGGGCTTACAATGTTTAGAGCCTTCGAGTTCTTATCCTCCAAAAAAGTATTTGACTTTCTCAAATAACGTCTTCTATGGTTTAAAATTCCGAATGGTAGGCAATATCACACATGTAAAACCACAAATTCAATACTTTTGCACTCAGACGTTGCAGAGACTTCCTTGGCAAGATTTGTTCAGAAGGGCCGAGAGAGTGTGACTTGCCCAAGGCCACTCGGTGGGTTTCCAAAGTTGAAGACGTTAACCCAGACCTCCCTGAGTCCTCATTCAGATTCGCGCCAAATCTCAGCCCGCCCTTTTTTTTCTTGTTAGGAGCGACTTGAGAAACTGCAAGTCGCTTCTGGTGTGTGAGAATTGGCCGTCTGCAAGGACATTGCCCAGGGGACGCCCGGATGTTTTACCATCCTTGTGGGAAGCTTCTCTCATGTCCCCGCATGGGGAGCTGGAGCTGACAGAGGGAGCTCATCCGTGCTCCCCAGATTCGAACCTCTGACCTGTCAGTCTTCAGTCCTGTCAGCACAAGAGTTGAACCCATTGCTCCGGAAGTGGCTTGAATCCCGATTGTTATTTACCATCCCCTGAAAGTCATAGTTGTTTGATGAAGAACACTAAGGAAAATCCCTCCAATTCAACGCTGTTCAAAGCATTCTATGAGGCTCTTGTTGCCACGGGTGGACGGAATGGGGAAAAGGCTCCCTGGCATTCGTAAAAAGGCACTTTCCCCACTGCGGGCTCTGGGCGAAATTAATTGAAGCTCAATCCTTTGAGCAACATATGAGTCCCACCAGCTCCTAAAACACTTATTCCGCAGTTTATAGAGATGGGATCCACATTGGCAGAACAGTGAAGCGCTTCACTGAAAGCGGGGTCTTCTTATTTTTTACTTTGAAAGGATGGGATTTGGGAAGAGGCCCCAGTGCCTACCCCTCTGAGGTAGAAGGTAAAAAGAACGGAGTCTTAATGTATGCAGCTCAGGTTGGACGCGGAAAATCCAATTTGATGAAGCAATCTTGATCAGTACGACTGTCCGGATTTCCACCTGTGGTTGGACATGCAAAGTAGCCTTGGATGCCTTCCCAAGAGGCATTTCCCCCGTCTACAAGATTTAACTCACCCTCCACCGAGGAAACCCCATTCCCACACTCCTGTCCTCCCATTCCTACACTAAACCTTCGGAGTCCATGGCCCCGTCTACAAAGCCAGATCAATACCAGATTATCGGCGTGTACTGGAATATATGGCAGTATGACTAATACCATCCAGTGCAAAGCGGATGATCTGGATTTTCTCTGGCAGTGTACTAGGGTTGAATGAAAAGTAATGCCTCCAACCTTCGTAACTCCTCAACAGATGGCAGTACTGGAATGCGTCAGGTACTGGCTTGTTCAGTAGACTCTCCCCTACAGTTCCATTTTGGCGGGAAGCCTTAGCATTGAACGGTTGTGTTGTTAAAGTGCAACGTATGGAACCTGCGCCAAGGTCTGTCAATACGACTTAAGTAGTCATTGAATTATTGACAGCACAAGGTGTCACCCCAAAGAAGATTAATCAGAGAATGCAAGCTGTTTATGGTGATTGTGTTGATGTGAGTACTGTGCGTCATTAGGCGAGTAAGTTTAAAGATGTTGAGGTGACACCTTCTGCTGTCAAGACTGCACGTTGCTTAAGTCACATTTACCGACCATAACAATCAACACTAAGGCTTCCTGCCAAAATGGAACTGTATAGGAGAGTCTACTGAACAAGCCAGTACCTGCCGCATACAAGTACTGCCATCTGTTGAGGAGTTACGAAGGCGGAGGCATTACTTTTCATTCATTCAGCCCTCGTAGATGGGTTATTTATCCTTCCCCTCAGCAGCCTCCGAAGCCTGAGATCAGACATCATCAAACTGCGGCCCTCCACCTGTTTGGGCCTCCAACTCCCCAAAACCCTAACGAGCTTGTTCAGTGGTCAGGAATTCTGGGAGTTGAAGGCCCAAACAGCTGGAGGGCCGCAGTTTGAGGATGCCTGCCTGAGACTGTCTCTTCTCAGCAGGCGAGGCAGTGGCAGCCTTAGCCTAGGCTTCGTTTGGGAATCCCACCCCAATTCCGAAGGGGAATTCCGAGCGGGAGAGGCGTGTGTGTGTGTGTGTGGGGGGGGGGGGGGGAATCGGTGGATTTGGAGAGTGCTGCGTCCCGTGTTGAACACCCTCGGCTTCCTGAGTCCCCGGGAGAGAAAGCGGCGCGGGGAGAGCGTGGTGTCCCGTGGCCGGGTTGCGGCCCTTGAGCTGGAGGGGAGGCCGTGTCACCGCCCACGCGCGTAGGAGGGGGGAGGGGGAAGAGAGCGTGTCTGGGCCTGGCTCCTCCCCCGCCTCACTTGGCGGAGCTTTGGGGACTCGGAGGGCAAAGCCGGCGCGGCGAGGAGAAGCCACTCTCCTGCTGCCTCCCGAGCACGGAGCTTCCCTGCCTCCCTCCCTCCCTGCCTTGCTTGCTTCCTTTCTTCCTTCGGGGCCCAAAGGGCGACCCTGGAGGCCAACCTCGCCCTGGCGCTGGCAGGGCTGGAGTCGGGGGCTGGGCTGCCCGTCCCGAAGGGGCTCCCGAGCAGCGCCGCCACCACCTCCTCCTCTTCCTCAACTTGGTGCCTCCCGCCGGAGCCCCTCAGCGCCTGGGGCAAGCCTTCCTCCTCTTCCTCCTCCTGCGGCGGAGAGTGGTTCCCTGCGCGGCGCAAAGCGGGCTCGGCGGAGGCCATGGGTTCCGACGTGCGCGACCTCAACGCGCTTTTGCCTCCTCCCCCGGGCAACGGGGGCTGCCCCATGCCGGCGCAGTGGGGCCCCGTGCTGGACTTCCCCTCGGGCGCCGCTTACGGCTCGCTGGCCGGCCCCCCTCCGCCGCCCCATCCTCCGCCGCCCCCTTCAGCCTTCATCAAGCAGGAGCCCAGCTGGAGCGCCTCGGACCCCCACGAGGAGCAGTGCCTCAGCGCCTTCACCGTCCACTTCTCGGGACAGTTCACGGGCACGGCCGGCGCCTGTCGCTATGGGGCTTACGGGGCGCCCCCGCCCCCTCCGCCGCCGCCGCCGCCCCCGCCCTCCAGCCAGGCGCCCCCCGCCCAGGCGCGCCTCTTCCCCCAGGGCCCCTACCTGCCCAGCTGCCTCGAGGGACAACAGGCCCTCCGCAACCAAGGTAAGTGGGGCTAAAATCCTATCTGATCTTGGAAGCTCAGCAGGGCCGACCTTGGTTGGTAGTTGGATGGGTAGCCACTGAGTTGTGAACAAGATAGGTTCAGTAGCAGGCATGAGCAAGCTGGTGCCTTCCAGGGGTTTTGGACTTCAACTCCCACCATTCCTCACAGCCTCAAGCCCTTTCCTTTTCGCTTATGCGGCTGAGGGGGAAAGGGAAAGGGCCTGAGGCTGTTAGGAATGGTGGAAGTTGAAGTCCAAAACACCTGGAGAAAGGCCCAAGTTTGCCCATGCCTGTTCTATAAGCTTGTTCTTAACTTGGATTTGTATATAAGTCGGAACAGGAACAGTTTTTAAGCGTAACTCCAGCCAAATATATATGTTTTGCTCTCTGTGCCTCTGTTCACCAGAGTTCACTGCACTTTCTGTCCCTATGACAACTGGGTTTTTTGGGGGGGGAAATGGCTTGTTGACTGCTCCGTGCAGTTATGCTGGCCACATGACCTTGGAGGTGTCTACGGACAATGCCTCTCTTCACTTCACTTTCTGTCCCTGTGACAATTGGGTTTTGCAAAAAATGGCTTGTTGTGGAAACAAGGATTGGTGAGAAAGCTTCAGCAGGGAATTTCCCTTCCTCTACCACTTCATCACACCAGAGAAAAATCAACTTATAATCCGGTTCCTGCCTCCTGCAGAATTCTGGGGTTTGTAGTTTAGGGAGGCTGTTAAAGGCCCCTCCCTAAACTACAAACTCCAGAATTCTACAGGAGGCAGAAACCGGATTTTAAGTGGATTTCTTCTCTAGATTTCTCATCACACTCGAGAAAAAAAAATCAGTCGCCTTCTCAACTCTGAGTAGTTTGTAAGTCGGGTGTTTGTAACTGTAGGCTGTATTTCAGGGAAATCCTCAGGGTCGCCATAAATGGGCAGGCAACTGGTAGGCACACACGCCCGGCAGGATCCATGAAGCCAATGGGTTGCATCAGCTTTGGCATAATAAGTGGTCTTATTATCCATTCACTCCAACTGGGAGGAGGGATGGGATTTTGCTCAGATCCTCTCTGATTTTGGAAGCTAAGCAGGGGCGGCCCTGGTTAATACTTAGAGGGGAGATCGCCAATTAAAACCAGGCGAGAATAATAATAAAACTTTATTTATACCCCGCCCCATCTCCCAACAAGGGACTCGGAGCGGAGAAGGCACTAACAAATCCATCTGTGACATGTCTTTTGAAATTCATGGAATCACCATCCTCCCAAATCTGCTAAAGACTATCAGTAGTAGAAAAGGAGAGGTGGAGAGGCGACTTAAAGGTGCATCCTCAAACGCAGATTATTATTATTATCATCATCATTATTTATCTCCCCCAAGGGGACTCAAAGCGGCTTAACAGCGGATGAGCTCCCTCTGTCAGCTCCAGCTCCCCATGTGGGGACACGAGAGAAGCCTCCCACAAAGATGGTAAAACATCAAAACATCCGGGCATCCCCTGGGTAGTCCTTGCAGACAGACATTTCTCTCATACCAGAAGTCATTTGCAGTTTCTCAAGTAGCTCCTGACCCCGGGGGGGGGGGGGATTAAACAGAAGCGGAAGAATGGCTTCAAACTACAGGAAAGGAGAGTCCCCTGAATATGAGGAAGAACCCCGGGAGTGTCGTGGAGGCTCCTTCTTTGGAGGCTTTGAAACAGAGGCTGGATGGCCATCTGTCGGGGTGTTTTGAATGCGATTTTCCTGCTTCTTGCCAAGGGGTTGGACTGGATGGCCCATGAGGTCTCTTCCAATTCTAGGATTCTATGTTTCTAGTTTGAACCCAGAGGTTACATTTCGGTCTTCATTTAATTGGGAGGAGCGAGTGGATTCAGCCCCCAGTGTTTATGGATACCCCCCATGCCCCACCAATTAAAAATAAATTTAAAAATACTACTTGTGTAGCTTCGAGGGACAGGCACAAGTTTCCACCCCTCAATGAGGATCCTCCAGTACCACATTTCTAGCATCATAGTAACACTAGGGCGGGTTGGGGTGAGCTCCCGCCTGTCAGCTCCAGCTTCCCATACGGGGACATGAAAGAAGCCTCCCACAGAATGGTAAAGCATCCGGTTGTGCTCTGAGCAACTTATTTTCAGACGGCCAATTTTCTCACGCTAGAAGCGTCTTGCAGTTTCTCAAAGTCGTGTCAATAAAAGCATTTAGGAATACCGTTTAGGCATGCAGAGAAAAGGGCCCGCAAAATGACTCTGAAAACGCGAAGACAGCAAACCACAACAGAGTTCTAGGTGTCAGTGATGTTAAGTGTCTCTCGAAATCTGAGGAATGAAGGAAAACTTCAGGCGGGGGATTAATTCAGGGGAAAATGTCCTTAGGGAACGGGTTGCTGGAGGTGGGCATTTCCCCTCTCCAGCCTGGGGAACTCTTTTCCTCCACCATCCTCTTCCACCAGATTAATAGACAGCAAGGGCTAGGATCATAAAACCTTCCCTTTGGATGAGATCATCCCTGATCTGAAATGTCCCTTGAAGGCTCCTAAGCACGCACAAGGGTTGTGTCAGGCAAAAACTGCCTCAGAAACTCAAACACAGATGAACTCCAGACAAGAAACAATCAGGAACATTTGGTCACCTCTCAACAAAGGATTCCCCCAGACAGGAACAAGTCACACCTAAAAACTGTCAGGTTATCAAAAGCTAATCAAGGTGGCCAATTGAAACATTCACACCTACCGCCAACAGACAACAGTTCTTTCCCCCACCCTGAACTTTCCGCAGATCTATAAACCCAATTTTCCTAGTTTCCAACAGACCTCACAATCTCCGAGGATGCCTGCCATAGATGCAGGCGAAACATCAGGAGACAATGCTTCTTTTATTTATTTATTTATTTACTATATTTGTATACCGCCCTTCTCGGCCCTTAGGCGACTCAGGGCGGTTTACAATGGGCACGATTCGAGGCCCCAAAACACCATAAAACATTTAAAAAAAACATTAACACATAATATTAAACCATAGCAAGAATAGTAGAACATAGCCATACAGTCCGGAAAAACCTAAAACAATCCCCAAACTGCATATCTCAAAGCAAAACCGAAAACAAACCCTGCAGTAAATCTTTTAGACCTTTTTTTAAATCAAGGTCTTTAACAGTTGTGAAGACAACTGAGGTGTATATACTAGCAGTACTTGACCCTTTCGCAAAGGGAACCAGGCTAAAACAACGATGGGTGTAGCATCTACATTGTAGAATGAATGAATGCCCCTGGACATCACTTCCACCACCACGACTCAATGCTATGGCGTCCTGAGTGGGAGTTGTAATTCTGCAAGGTCATTAGCCTGCTCTGCCAGAGTACTGGTCCCTTATCAAACTACAACTCCTATCATTCCATAGCATTGGGCCGGGCGGTTAAAGAGGTGTCCAATTGCATTCATTCTACACTGTAGATGCAAGCTGGATTGTGAATGGTAGCTTTGCATTTAGCGTTTGGAAGAAGCCTGATTTAAAAGGTTGTGGATTTAGTGGTTTGAGGAATCGAGGAGGAGCCACAAGGCTCTTTTTTGGTGTGTATGTATGTGTGTGTATATATATATTAGAGGGAAAGTGTGTGTGTGTGAGTGGATGGAGATATATATATATTTTAGAGGGAGAGAAAGTGTGTAATATACATATATACTCTCCCCCCCTCATACACACACACACACACACACATATATACACACACACACTCACTCTCTATACACACACACACACACACACACATAGGTAAAGGTTTTCCCCTCACATGAAGTCCAGTCGTTTCCGACTTTGGGGTGTGGTGCGCATCTCCATTTCTAAGCCGAAGAGTCGCGTTGTCCGTAGACACCTCCAAGGTCATGTGGCCGGCATGACTGCATGGAGCGCAGATATTATATATATACACACACACACACACACACACGCACGCACGCACACACTAGCCGTCCCCTGCCACGTATTGCTGTGGCCCAGTTTGTGTATATGTGTGTATATATATGTGTGTATATGTGTATATATGTGGTTCTATATATTATTTTGGCTCTTCCTCTATGTTTTTCCCTGTTTTTATGAGTGATGTTCATTCGTTGGCCTGATAGGTGTCTTGTGTCCAAATTTGGTGCCAATTTGTCCAGTGGTTTTTGAGTTATGTTAATCCCACAAACGAAAATTACATTTTTATTTATGTAGATTAGATATTTCCAGTTTGTGTTCGCACATATACAAGGGGGAAAAATGTAAAAGTCGGGTCCAGGCATGGGCAAACTTGGGCCCTCCTGGCATTTTGGACTTCAACTCCCACCATTTCTAACAGCCTCAGGCCCTTTCCCTTTCCCCCTCAGCCGCATAAGCGAAAAGGAAGGGGCCTGAGGCTGTTAGGAATGGTGGGTGTTGAAGTCCCAAACACATAGGGGGCCCAAGTTTGCCCATGCCTGGTGTAGATACAACTCCCGAGTAAATGAGACTTGTTACACTAACGCCATTGATTCAATGGGTCTTCTGGACTCGGGACTAGTTTTGGGTTGAACCCTCGGGGATTGTGGAGTAAATTGGAGGCGGTCGTCCGCACTCCTTTAAGGCAACAGGTTGCAGTCCTCCTTTCCCTTGAAGACATTTTGGCAGATCGCTCATGGAACTCTGGGTGACCTCGTGAGATATTTGGTTAAGGCTGTGAAAAACGAAACCGCGGAAACGGCATTTGTCAACAGGGATTTAGGATCGGTTTCCCTCCAAGTCCAGAAACTACTGTTGTGAAGCTAAGAAGGGATGTCGCAACTTCGTTGACCATCTGGCCCAGAGCAGATATTCAGGGGATATACAAGGAGAAATCTTCTAAACTCGAGGTTTACTAATAACCCTCATTCACACCCCAAAGCCCACACAAAAACACCACCCGCCTCGCATGAATGGCAGGCTCCTGGTCCTTTTAAGATACTATATACCCTTCACAGGGCGAAATTATGGAAATGTAAGAGTTGGTGCGTAATAGGCA